TACCACCCTAGGTAATGTATAGTGAGAAGACTCACCTCGGGTAACTCGAATGATCTCGAACTCGAAACACTAATCTAGCCTCCGCCTAATCATATACATAAAATATCTCTACTTAATAAAGACTTTCAAAGGCTAGACTAATCCCTTCCTATGCTCTCTCGGAAGGGTAAATGACCATTCTACCCCTCCAATGGTCCAAAAGCCCATTTGTTGACTAAACCCTAAAAGTCAACAAAAGTCAACTAAAGTCAACCCTAAGGAATACGCGGCGCATACCAGATCCCTATGCTGGGCATACTCGACCGTTACGTTGATATCGGGCTACTTGAACCCTACGCCCCGCGTACTGGGATTTACGCTTAGCGTACATCCCAGTTTCCTTCTTATCTCATTTATGGTCTTAATCAGTTAAGACCTTAGCTCAAAATACAGATCTGGACCCCCTATAGTCTCCTAATCCATAAAGTCGAAGACTTTATGCCCTTTCATGGCTTTAAAGGTCATCATCATCCAAATCACACCACTTCCTTCACTAAGGAGCTCATATCTCATGCATGGCTCACTCCTAACGTCCAAGATTGGATTTTTATGGATATAAATCACATTATACACTGAATATGGACATATCAAGGTCTGTGGAGCTCCTTTACTCATAAAGTCTCCACCTTTGGGACGAAAACCCTAGAAATGGTCCATAATGCACAAATCAAAAAGGTTGAGAAAGCTCTAAGCTTTTTACCTCCAACTGATGCTCCAACCTCAGAAAGTTCAGATCCAAGCTTGCCCTCCAACTCTAGCTCCTTCAATGGCACCTCCTTCTCTTCAAAAGCACACAAGAACACTTTCAAGCTCAACCACACTCACACAAGCTCTAGAACGAGGGTTAGGGCACATTTAGGGTTTGCTCTCTGGAAATGGTGTCTAAAAGTGAGGCCATAATGTTCCTTATATAGGGCTCACCCCCACAATTAGGCTTTCAATCTGAACGTAGTACGCCCAGTGTACACTATGGTACGCCCAACGTACTTGGTAGTCTCCGCGTCAAGAATACACTCATGAGTACGCGCAACGTACTTTCCCTTACGCCCAGCGTACTCAAAAGCCAAACATTCTTTTCAAGGACTAATTTTGACAACTTGAGGAAAGAAAAGGATCAAAGAGATATACTTGAATTCCGGGATGTTACAATGAAGTTGAGACCTTGGCTAAAAAATTAGATTGGTTGTGGAAGCCGTTGGCTGAGCAAGCAACAAGGGTAAAATCCGTAATCTACAAATGGTGTTATTTTCTATTTCTTCTTTTTATTTTACTTGATTTATGGGTAGTTTTTTTTTTTCTTACAAAAAATATTAAAGTTGATAAAGTATAGCCACTAAAATTGACTTTTTCCAAAACATAATGTCAAATGGTGCGTATATGTATCATGTTGTATTAGATAATGAATATGATGATTCTGTTCTATTTAATCCGAAAAAATTATCTAATGATTTTATATTGGAAAACAAAGTTGTGATTTTTTGCATAATAAAATCAAGTCCACTTTTGTATGGGAGGTGGATAAATGTGGTAAATTTATAACAAGTGTTTTTACATTGAAGGGTATGGAGAGGTTGAAGAAAGTTAAAATGATAAAATGTTTACACAAATGTTGTATCCGACTGAATATTATGTTTAAGGATGATTGTATTAGATTGTTGATATATGGTAAGCATAGATATTTAGAATTGTGACTTAAATTTATAAGTTATTCAAACTGGATTGAAACATTTTTGATATAGATTAGGAATGAAAATGAGCAACACTAACATACTTATCTTTGGTAGTTTGGTCATTATATTTTTATTAGAATATAGAAACATACATTTATTTTAAACCATATTGTGGACGGACTTGAATAAATGGGAAAAATGTACCTTGCTATTTAGCACAAAAAAATTATAAAAATGTACATTGCTATTTAGCACAAACAAAAAAAAAACTTATCCTTTTTGCATTAGGTCACAAAGAAATATAAAATGGGAAATGTGTTGCTATTTAATGCACTAAAAGAAACTATTTTGCCTTTATTAAACCGGGTAAACCAATAGAAAAATGGAAGTACATTGTCATTTAGCATGAAAAAAATAACTTTCCATTTTTTGCATCCGGTCACAATAATAGAAAAATGAAAGTACGTTGCTATTTAGCGAAACTAACTTCCTTTTTTCTTTTTGGCATCGTATCATAAAATATAGACTAAAATACGTTAGTTTTACATTTTTAATACATTGAAATGTCTAATCGACATGTTATTCTATAAAAAGGGAAATGTAATTTACTTATTCTTTGATTCTTTGGCTTCTTTTTAGTACCCAAAACATCCCTCTATCCATCTATTCCAACTAAAATAATGAAAACTATATTCCTTCCATTGAAGGTATGTTATAAATTTTGTAATTGTTTTTATGCAAAAAAGTGTTTTTTGTTAACTAGATTAACGAGATTCATTTTTCAGCATTTTAGGAGAAGTTCATCCATCTTTTGGATATGAAGTGCAAGCCAAGTTCTTTAACATGGAATATGAGGTCCCTATATGCTCAAAAAATAGCAAATGAGAAATTTTTTAAATTGGATCCCCATAAAAGAAAATTTGTTAATGGTTGTTTTAATATTGGTCAATGTGTCCACCGGATAATGTGTCCACCGGATGAGCATAATACTAGTTTATAAGGGGTAAAGGTGGGTTTGGTGGGCCCATTTATCTTTATTATTTCTAAAAGTCAGAATTAAGTAAAAAAAATTATAAGATAAATACCATAAGGATAAAAAATCATTTTATTTGGACCAAAGACCAAAGTTGTTAAGGGGCTGTTTGTTTTTTTTTTGTGAAGAGCTGTGCAACCACTTTTGTCTGCGCCGCACAGACAACGTGCAGACATATGTCCTCGCAGAGTGTTTGTTTTTTGAAAGTGCGCAGACCAAAAAAACGTCTGCGCGAGGTCATCCTGACGCATATATGTGCCACTGTCTTCAAAGGTCTTCAGACCTCATTTTAACCAAAAAAAAAAGACCACCTGTTTTTTTTTTTTTTTTTTTTTTTTTTTTTTTTTTTTTCTCTTTTTGCTAAAAATGCATTTTTAATCTTTATGACATGAAATTAAGTTTGAAAAATTAATTTATTTCAACAGCTGTAGACGTTAAAAACAAACAGTCTTCTTGTTGCAGACTGTGGACATTTGGTCCACCTCTTCTACCGCAGAGACTTGCAGATGTGGTCCGCAGACTGCAGACATTTTGGCTTCAAATAAACAAACATCACCTAATTTGACTACACCACACGGACCTCCAATGTAACAAAAAAAAGGTTGAAACAAAGTTGCCTATTTCTCCATATCCAGGGGCCATTTATGTAAGAGTTATCTAAATTTTAGTTCGGTAGATCAGTTCTCACATTTTAACCGGGTAAAGTGTATGTGTGTACGCGCGCACCTGAAAGGTTTGAAGGTAACTTCCAAACTGAAGCAAGAATCGATATGAAGTATCAAGTTAGAGGTTCAATTGGTGAAGGAATCAGCTGGAGGTTGGGGAATCGAGCTTCCACTATTAAGGTAAAATCCATAACCCTAAATGTTGGTACGCTCATATATCAAATTGCGTGTTTTGTTGAATGAAAAAAGCATGCTCAAAAAACCAGTGTAAGGCACGGTATATGACATATTTATAGTTACTGATAACAAATTATGATAATTTTGTGTTTACATAAGTTAGGATTCGTACTTCAACCAAATGTAATAGTTTTTGTGAGTCTATCTATGTATTTGGGGAATCACATTAGCAACGGGATTGTACTAGTAATTCGAAAAAGTCTTTTAAATAATTTTTCTGTTTATAATTTATGAATAGTTTTAGCGACATCTAATATTAAATAGAATGTATCTGATATTGAATTAATGTCCTTAATGTGAACATAGACCTTTTCCATTTACTAATGCCTAATTATTAGTTTCTAATCAATAAATTTTAATTTCTGTTTTATGCTTCTAAGACAATAAAAATCCATGATTTACCTTTAAATATTAACAAAAATGACCATGAATAAATAAAAAATTAGGATACCAAACCCCCCGCCATGCCCAATGTCTAAATATTCTTGATGCTTTTGCTTTTCCCTCTTTTCCTTGTTAGTCTATTATTCTGGAGAGTTGGAGAGAGTTTCATACAAGAAAATTTCAAGAAGAAAGCAAAGGTCCAGGTATTCTCTTTTCTTAATTATGTATTAACTTACAAGCATTTTTTACACGATCCATGGTTTTTTGTGTATGTTTTTCAAATTGAAACTAGATTGGGACTTTTGCCCTTGATGATTCATAAGATATTGCATGGAGTTGAGATTGTGTAAGAAAAGTGGTGAATAGAAAGAGCAAGTGAATCCAGATATAGTATTGGTAATATATGATGATGAGATAGAGATATGTTAAAACTGGCTAGAAAATTGTTTTAATTTGAAATTTAGGTTGTTGAATTTGAAAGATACCAAGCTAATAACTAATTAGTTATGCTAAATAGTTATAAAGAACAACAAACTCGTAGTTTTTTTTTTCATGATTTTCAACCTCTTCGTACCAAACTAAATTATAACAAAATTGAATATCATTCTCTGCAATCAATCTTAACTTTTGTTATTATCATCATGTCTAAAATTGCCACAAGTTTATTTTCATAGTCATATTGGATTATGAAAGGACTATTTTTACCAATTACATCTTTACTTTATGGGCCAAAGCTAATACAATCCGACTAAACTAAAGGAATCTAGGATGCATATAGTTTGCTTCCCGATTATAGATTTCTATCTAATTTGTCTATTGTACTAATTTAGGTGCCACCACAAGTAAATTCCTGAAATGGATGTCGTTAATGCCATTCTTAAACCAGTTGTCGAGACTCTCATGGTACCCGTTAAGAAACACATAGGGTACCTCATTTCCTGCAGGCAATATATGAGGGAAATGGGTATCAAAATGAGGGGATTGAATGCTACAAGACTTGGTGTCGAAGAGCACGTGAACCGGAACATAAGCAACCAGCTTGAGGTTCCAGCCCAAGTCAGGGGTTGGTTTGAAGAAGTAGGAAAGATCAATGCAAAAGTGGAAAATTTCCCTAGCGATGTTGGCAGTTGTTTCAATCTGAAGGTTAGACACGGGGTCGGAAAGAGAGCCTCCAAGATAATTGAGGACATCGACAGTGTCATGAGAGAACACTCTATCATCATCTGGAATGATCATTCCATTCCTCTAGGAAGAATTGATTCCACGAAAGCATCCACCTCAATACCATCAACCGATCATCATGATGAGTTCCAGTCAAGGGAGCAAACTTTCACAGAAGCACTAAACGCACTCGATCCTAACCACAAATCCCACATGATAGCCTTATGGGGAATGGGCGGAGTGGGGAAGACGACAATGATGCATCGGCTGAAAAAGGTTGTGAAAGAAAAGAAAATGTTTAATTGTATAGTTGAGGCGGTTGTAGGGGAAAAAACAGACCCCATTGCTATTCAATCAGCTGTAGCAGATTACCTAGGTATAGAGCTCAATGAAAAAACTAAACCAGCAAGAACTGAGAAGCTTCGTAAATGGTTTGTGGACAATTCTGGTGGTAAGAAGATCCTAGTCATACTCGACGATGTATGGCAGTTTGTGGATCTGAATGATATTGGTTTAAGTCCTTTACCAAATCAAGGTGTCGACTTCAAGGTGTTGTTGACATCACGAGACAAAGATGTTTGCACTGAGATGGGAGCTGAAGTTAATTCAACTTTTAATGTGAAAATGTTAATAGAAACAGAAGCACAAAGTTTATTCCACCAATTTATAGAAATTTCGGATGATGTTGATCCTGAGCTCCATAATATAGGAGTGAATATTGTAAGGAAGTGTGGGGGTCTACCCATTGCCATAAAAACCATGGCGTGTACTCTTAGAGGAAAAAGCAAGGATGCATGGAAGAATGCACTTCTTCGTTTAGAGCACTACGACATTGAAAATATGGTTAATGGAGTTTTTAAAATGAGTTACGACAATCTCCAAGATGAGGAGACTAAATCCACCTTTTTGCTTTGTGGAATGTATCCCGAAGACTTTGATATTCCTACCGAGGAGTTGGTGAGGTATGGATGGGGGTTGAAATTATTTAAAAAAGTGTATACTATAGGAGAAGCAAGAACCAGGCTCAACACATGCATTGAGCGGCTCATTCATACAAATTTGTTGATGGAAGTTGATGATGTTAGGTGCATCAAGATGCATGATCTTGTTCGTGCTTTTGTTTTGGATATGTATTCTAAAGTCGAGCATGCTTCCATTGTCAACCATAGTAATACACTAGAGTGGCATGCAGATAATATGCACGACTCTTGTAAAAGACTTTCATTAACATGCAAGGGTATGTCTAAGTTTCCTACAGACCTGAAGTTTCCAAACCTCTCCATTTTGAAACTTATTCATGAAGATATATCATTGAGGTTTCCCAAAAACTTTTATGAAGAAATGGAGAAGCTTGAGGTTATATCCTATGATAAAATGAAATATCCATTGCTTCCCTCATCACTTCAATGTTCCGTCAACCTTCGCGTGTTTCATCTACATAAATGCTCGTTAGTGATGTTTGACTGCTCTTGTATTGGAAATCTGTCGAATCTAGAAGTGCTTAGCTTTGCTGATTCTGCCATTGACCGGTTGCCTTCCACAATCGGAAAGTTGAAGAAGCTAAGGCTACTGGATTTGACGAATTGTTATGGTGTTCGTATAGATAATGGTGTCTTAAAAAAATTGGTCAAACTGGAGGAGCTCTATATGACAGTGGTTGATCGAGGTCGAAAGGCGATTAGCCTCACAGATGATAACTGCAAGGAGATGGCAGAGCGTTCAAAAGATATTTATGCATTAGAACTTGAGTTCTTTGAAAACGATGCTCAACCAAAGAATATGTCATTTGAGAAGCTACAACGATTCCAGATCTCAGTGGGGCGCTATTTATATGGAGATTCCATAAAGAGTAGGCACTCGTATGAAAACACATTGAAGTTGGTTGTTGAAAAAGGTGAATTATTGGAAGCTCGAATGAACGAGTTGTTTAAGAAAACAGAGGTGTTATGTTTAAGTGTGGGAGATATGAATGATCTTGAAGATATTGAGGTTAAGTCATCCTCACAACCTCTTCAATCCTCTTCGTTCTACAATTTAAGAGTCCTTGTCGTTTCAAAGTGTGCAGAGTTGAAACACCTCTTCACACCTGGTGTTGCAAACACTTTAAAAAAGCTTGAGCATCTTGAAGTTTACAAATGTGATAATATGGAAGAAATCATACGTAGCAGGGGTAGTGAAGAAGAGACGATTACATTCCCCAAGCTGAAGTTTTTATCTTTGTGTGGGCTACCAAAGCTATCGGGTTTGTGCGATAATGTCAAAATAATTGAGCTACCACAACTCATGGAGTTGGAACTTGACAACATTCCAGGTTTCACAAGCATATATCCCATGAAAAAGTTTGAAACATTTAGTTTGTTGAAGGAAGAGGTAAATATAAATTTTTAATGCTAATACATTACAAAGGATCTTTTCAGTTAAATCTTTCAAAATATATTGTAATTTGATTGTATGGGGTATTATTGTTGGATGGGACTATTAATAAATGATTATCTTGCAGGTTCTGATTCCTAAGTTAGAGAAACTGCATGTTAGTAGTATGTGGAATCTGAAGGAGATATGGCCTTGCGAATTTAATATGAGTGAGGAAGTTAAGTTCAGAGAGATTAAAGTGAGTAACTGTGATAAGCTTGTGAATTTGTTTCCGCACAAGCCCATATCTCTGCTGCATCATCTTGAAGAGCTTAAAGTCAAGAATTGTGGTTCCATTGAATCGTTATTCAACATCCATTTGGATTGTGTTGGTGCAACTGGAGATGAATACAACAACAGTGGTGTAAGAATTATTAAAGTGATCAGTTGTGATAAGCTTGTGAATCTCTTTCCACACAATCCCATGTCTATACTGCATCATCTTGAAGAGCTTGAAGTCGAGAATTGTGGTTCCATTGAATCGTTATTCAACATTGACTTGGATTGTGCTGGTGCAATTGGGCAAGAAGACAACAGCATCAGCTTAAGAAACATCAAAGTGGAGAATTTAGGGAAGCTAAGAGAGGTGTGGAGGATAAAAGGTGGAGATAACTCTCGTCCCCTTGTTCATGGCTTTCAATCTGTTGAAAGCATAAGGGTTACAAAATGTAAGAGGTTTAGAAATGTATTCACACCTACCACCACAAATTTTAATCTGGGGGCACTTTTGGAGATTTCAATAGATGACTGCGGAGAAAACAGGGGAAATGACGAATCGGAAGAGAGTAGCCATGAGCAAGAGCAGGTAAGGATTTCAATTTCACTGTCTTAATTAATGATTAAGCTCCTGCTTTTTGAATAAAAAAGGGACAAACCATTTCATGACTTAATGTAGCAATACAAGTCATGTATAAGAGTGACCAACTCTTTTTTATTTATAAAATGACTACAAAATATTTTTTTTCATTAGAGATCATGTATAAATGTGACTAATTTTTCATCACCTAACTTTAGTTGATAAATCTTTATAAATGTCACTAGTTACTTTTCAGTAAAATAACAAATTTAATAAATTATCAACAAAAAGCATCAACTAAAAAAATCCCACAACCCGTAATAATTTAAAATAAAAGGATTTAACATCTAATACGAACAATTTTTTTTCTAAACATGATTTGGACCAAATATCACCAGCAACTCAAGTTTGGAATCGATTCAGCTTAAAACTTGACCAGCATAATTAGATAGATGAGAGTTGAAGCTAAAGTGCCTATATAAGTTCGTTTCATCTTTTTTCTTGATCTTGATAGCAAGTTGAATGATTTTCTTCTTCAAAATTGATAAAAATCTACATTATAAAGAGACTAGCTTGAAAAAAAATGGTCTAGGTGGGTCTTGGGTCTGGTAGATGAAGATGGAAGGGAGAGTAGATTTCAAAGACACAAACACATCTTCATTTTATTTATTTATTTATTTATTATTATTATTATTTTTTGATATCTTGCTCATATTTGTTACAGATATGTGAGGTCTATTAATCTTTTTAAATATATAAAAAAATAAATACATAAATGAGAAAATTAAATAAAGAATAAATTAATAAGGGCACAATAGTCTTTTTAGGTAAGACAAGGACCAAACACGCAACAAAAATAAACAGTAGGGACCATCCGATTTAAAAAAAATAATTAGGGACCAAAAACATAAATTCCCCCAAACCATAGGGACCATTCATGTAATTTACTCTTACTTTTCGTTTTGTTCATATTTGGGTAACTATTTTTTTTGTACACATCTAGGTAACGAACTTGTTGAAAGTGTTCCCATTTAGGATGTGACCTACTACAACCGATCATAATGGTCATATGTGAACACTTCCAACAACTTTATTACTTAGGTGTGTACAAAAAAACGATAGTTACCATGATGTGAACATACTGAAAAATTAATTACCTTAGCAAGTTATTTTCCCATTTAGGTTGTATGGAAACAGTTCCGTGAGACCGTGACTTGGATGGTAGATAAATTTAGTAAACTTAACCCTTCAATTAACCTACCTTTTTCTTATTAACTCAATTTCAACCTAAATTCGGACTCTTGTTTGAAAGTAAGTTGCATCTTTATGTTTGTATTATCTTGTTGCATAGGATCCTTAGCATCTTTTAATAATTTATTTGAAGGTGAAAGATCCAACTATTTTTAATCTGTTGACATTTTCCATCATTTGCAACTGTTTCTTGAAAAAAAAATACCTAAAATCAAAATAACCATTTTCAAATCCAAAATTATAAGAGAGAATTGTAAATGGACATGGAATCATAAATCATTAACACAGTTCAGTAAACAAGTTGCTAATTACATTTCTTGCTGTGCAGATTGAAATTCTATCAGAGAAAGAGACATTACAAGAAGCCACTGGCAGTATTTCAAATCTTGTATTCCCATCCTGTCTCATGCACTCTTTTCATAACCTCCAGAAACTTATATTGAAGAGAGTTAAAGGAGTGGAGGTGGTGTTTGAGATAGAGAGTGAGAGTCCAACAAGTAGAGAATTGGTAACAACTCACCATAACCAACAACAACCTATTATACTTCCCAACCTCCAGGAATTAGTTCTATGGGAAATGGACAACATGAGTCATGTGTGGAAGTGCAAGAATTGGAATAAATTCTTCACTCTTCCAAAACAACAATCAGAATCCCCATTCCACAACCTCACAACCATAAATATTAAGTATTGCAAAAACATTAAGTACTTGTTTTCACCTCTCATGGCAGAACTTTTTTCCAACCTAAAGAAGGTTGAGATAAGCATGTGTCATGGTATTGATGAAGTTGTTTCCAACAGAGATGATGAGGATGAAGAAATGACTACATCTACCCACACATCCATCTTGTTCCCTCAGCTTGAGTCTCTCACTCTAGATAGACTGTACAATCTGAAGTGTATTGGTGGAGGTGGTGCCAAGGATGAGGGGAGCAATGAAATATCTTTCAATAATACCACTGCAACTACTGCTGTTCTTGATCAATTTGAGGTATGCTTTGTACATATTCAATTATTTATTTAATTTCCTTTTTTCTTTGCAATATTCTATAAATAATACATTTTATACCCACTATACTAAGATAATAATTACCTAGAGGGATGGATGCTATGACACAGCTGCTACACTTCAGAAACTCTAGTAAGGGCAGTTATGGAAGTTCAATAAAATGATAATGGCATCTTTTGATGGGTAATATAGGCAATTTAAGTTTTATTTCTGCTAAAGCAGTATTTAGCAAGTACTGGCCAGTAGGAGAGGAGAATATCACCTTTTGTGAAAATCTGGTCATTGTACCCAGAATTTAGTTAAATGTAACATTTTAGATATTAGGGGACATCAGGTGACAGATATTGTAGAATAGAACAATATATAATATTACCCAAAACTATTTTTTCTAAGGTTATTCTGTTAAATATGTGCTTTCTTGATTTCATTGAATTTGCATTCCTATATTTTAGGTGGTAAAGTGATTGTCTCTTCAATAAATCCCGAAATTAATTAAAAAAAAAAAAAACAAAAGTAAATTTTTGATATGGAGAGCATTGGTATCATTTAGTATATAAAAAAACTAGATTTTGAATTAAGTTTCTTATATAAAAGCTGTGTATATAGTTTAATTAGTTTTACATCATTTTTCCATGTGGTGTTGCAGTTGTCTGAAGCAGGTGGTGTTTCTTGGAGCTTATGCCAATACGCTAGAGAGATGAGAATAGAATTCTGCAATGCATTGTCAAGTGTGATTCCATGTTATGCAGCAGGACAAATGCAAAAGCTTCAAGTGCTGACAGTAATGTATTGTGATGGTCTGAAGGAGGTATTTGAAACTCAATTAAGGAGGAGCAGCAACAAAAACAACAAGAGTGGTGCAGGTGATGAAGGAATTCCAAGAGTAAATAACAATGTTATTATGCTTTCTGGTCTGAAGATATTGGAAATCTACGGTTGTGGGGGTTTGGAACATATATTCACATTCTCTGCACTTGAAAGCCTGAGACAGCTCCAAGAGTTAAGGGTATGGAATTGCTACGGAATGAAAGTGATTGTGAAGAAGGAAGAAGATGAATATGGAGAGCAGCAAACAACAACAACAAGAACAACAACGAAGGGGGCATCATCATCATCATCATCTTCTTCATCTTCTAAGGAGGTTGTGGTCTTTCCTCATCTCAGGTCCATTGAACTGGAAAATCTACGAAGGCTGGAGGGTTTCTTCTTGGGGATGAATGAGTTCCGATTGCCTTTATTGGATAATGTTACCATCAAGGAATGCCCAAAAATGATGGTGTTTGCAGCTGGTGGGTCCACAGCTCCCCAACTCAAGTATATACACACAGAATTAGGCAGACATGCTCTTGATCAAGAATCTGGCCTTAACTTTCATCAGGTATATATATTTCTTTAATTGGCATCATCTAATTAAGAAAGATATCATTCCTGCCAAGTAAATTTACTTCAAACACATTCACACTGGTTTCAGTCTAAGTTTATGTTGTTCTAAGAAGGCCAAAATGGGAAAGCAAGATAGGGAAAAATAGTGTATTTCAGTGGAAAGGGTATTTTAGGTATTTTCTGTCAAAAGTTGTTATTGCAGGCTTTTTAGTACCTGGAATCGTGTGTGGGAGGAGCATTATTATTCTGATTTGCTTGTTTCTTTATCATTTTTTCTTAGCCTCTCGAACAGCTAGAAACCCTTTTAATCTTTTGATTTTCAATGACAAAATTTTTCCCTGTTACTCTATTTGATTGTTGTTCTTCATGGTTCTAAGTGAGTTATTGGCTCATCTGTTACTTCTTTTGATTGTTATTTTCATATCATGTTAGTCACTTGAATCAAGCTTTTTCATTTTCAACCAGGGCAAAAGGTCAAAAGTAACCTACTTTATGAGATCAAAAACAGCAACCCATCGGATAACTTTTAGTTGGAGTTAATACTTACAATTACCATTGTGATTAATAATTATAATATCCTGTATTAATTCATAAAAATTGGTACAGCACGTATATGACATTTCAAAGGTTTTTGTTTGACATATATATGCCTCTGGCGTTTTCTTTATTGGACTTGCAGACATCATTCCAAAGTTTATACAGTGACACCTTGGGCCCTGCTACTTCAGAAGGGACAACTTGGTCTTTTCATAACTTGATCGAATTAGATGTAAAATATAATATGGATGTTAAAAAGATTATTCCATCCAGTGAGTTGCTGCAACTGCAAAAGCTGGAAAAGATTCATGTTGAGTACAGTGATAAGGTAGAGGAGGTATTTGAAACTGCATTGGAAGCAGCAGGGAGAAATGGAAATAGTGGAATTGGTTTTGATGAATCGTCACAAACTACTACTACTACTACTCTTTTCAATCTTCGAAACCTCAGAGAAATGAAGTTGCATTATCTACGTGGTCTGAGGTATATATGGAAGAGCAATCAGTGGACAGCATTTGAGTTTCCAAACCTAACAACACTATATTTATATAGATGTTCAAGGTTAGAACATGTATTTACTAGTTCCATGGTTGGTAGTCTATTGCAACTCCAAGAGCTACATATATCTAACTGCTGGAATATGAAGGAGGTGATTGTTAAGGATGCAGATGTTTGTTTAGAAGACAAAGAGAAAGAATCTGATGGCAAGACGAATAAGGAGATACTTGTGTTACCTCGTCTAAAGTCCTTGATATTAAAACACCTTCCATGTCTTAAGGGGTTTAGCTTGGGGACAGCATTTGAGTTTCCAAAACTAACAAGAGTTGAAATTAGTAATTGCGACAGTTTAGAACATGTATTTACTAGTTCCATGGTTGGTAGTCTATTGCAACTCCAAGAGCTACATATATCTAACTGCTGGAATATGAAGGAGGTGATTGTTAAGGATGCAGATGTTTCTGTAGAAGAAGACAAAGAGAAAGAATCTGATGGCAAGACGAATAAGGAGATACTTGTGTTACCTCGTCTAAAGTCCTTGAAATTACAACTTCTTCAAAGTCTTAAGGGGTTTAGCTTGGGGAAGGAGGATTTTTCATTCCCATTATTGGATACTTTGGAAATCTACAAATGCCCAGCAATAACCACCTTCACCAAGGGAAATTCCGCTACTCCACAGCTAAAAGAAATTGAAACAAATTTTGGCTTCTTTTATGCTGCAGGGGAAAAAGACATCAACTCTCTTATAAAGATCAAACAACAGGTAAATCAGATCTTTGTTGCTTTAATAATTCTTAAACTACATTTGAAAAGCTTCATGCAAGTTTTTTTTGTTATATTGTCAAAAACCGCAACCTACATTTTCAGCTTTATATTTATGTACTTTATGCAGGATTTCAAATAAGACTCTGATTAATGTGAAGTGAATATTAAAGGTAAATTATATTTTCATGTTCCTAGTTGCCTATTAATTAAAGGCCTTTTAGTTCGTGATTTTTGGATGTATTCTTCATGATGATGTCAATCTTCTAATACCCCATTCATTGTTTGGTTGAATGTTGACTCTATGTCAGGATGAATATTCAAGGGAAGAATTGTTCATCATATGAAGGACATTAAAGAACATGGATGCTATGAAGATGTTGGGAAAACATATGTATCAAGTGGCAAGCTGCTTAATGATCTAAGTTTGTTGGTTGAGGATGTTGATTTTAATATTTCAAATTCATTGGTATCATTATATGGGCTTATCAATAGTGTTAATGGGATAATGAGTGACTTAACCTAAATTATGTTGTTGGTAAATGTTGGACAAGTATGGAAAATTAGGAATGACTTGTGAAAAATATATGGAAAAGTATTATGAAACTATATATAGTATATAAATTAATGCAACATATTCTTGGAAGCACATATCATGAGAGTAACTAGAAGTAGAGTTTATTCCAAGGGTGTAGAAAACGTTAGACGTTAGCTAATCGGTGGACTGGGGTCTAGGGATTAACCAGTTAGGCGGGGATTAATCGGGGACCATTAATTATTAATGAAATTATTCAATAATTTATAAATCTAACTTAATCATAAGAATATTAATAAATAAGCATAAAAGTTTAATAATAAGTTTAACAAACACAACAATTTATCATCCAATTAATAAGAAAAATTACTCAAATTTTAATATATCTTAAGAAAAGAAGTAAATTTAGGTATTTGCATATTAGAAAACATAGAAATTTTGACAATTTTGGAAAAAAACTTTAAAATTTAATTTTTAATTTTTTTATATATTAGTTGAACACTAAAATACTATGAATTTTTGAAATTTTGAAAATTTTGGTTTAATATTTAAAAATTTGAAAATTTGGCCAATTAGGCCGCCTAGGACCGATTAGAACATCTAGTTCCGACTTTGACCACCTTTGACCAAAACCGATTAAGCCGACCGATTAGCCTTAATCCTATTCAGTTGAAGACAGCTTAATGATTAATCCCCAATTAATCGGCCGTCTAAACCGATTTTTACAACAATGGTTTATTCCCATCTTCAACTACTTATAGTTTCCATTTCTTACCTGCAAAAATCTGATTAAACTTTAGAGTCATTTCTTTTTTGCCAACCAAGAAAAGAGATTGGTGCAAATTTTCATATAAAGGCCACAAGTAATGGTAAGTATAAAAACGATCACTAAATAGTGACTACAATATACTGATCATTAAATATTTGACAAACTTTTTCGTCATTTAATGTTGTCACTAATCAATGAAATGTTTTACCTAATTAGTGACAACTAAAAGTTGTCACTCTTATCCAATTAGTGACCATAGAAAGTTGTCACTGGTTTATCCGACTTATGACCAAAAAAGTCGTCATTGATTTATCCAATTAGTTACAAAAAAAAACTCGTCATTGATTTTTGTTGTTTTTTGCATTTAACCAATTTAAGTAACAAGCATGGAACTTGGTAAATGGTAAAGATATTTCATGAGCAATTTAAAAATAACTGTCTCATCTGTTTGCAGCCTCTATAAGCAATCCCCCCAAGTCAATCTACAACCTATATAAGATAATTCACATGTATTTGATACCCTACCACAAGCTAAAAGCATCATCACAAATAATTAATGTCAAAATAATATTCAAATGGAGAATCATGTTGCCTATACACTCTCAAACACGGAACACCTAAATAAGGTTATGACAAATAATATTTTTTTAGTTTATAAAAAATTAAAAATTATAGTTTAGCTAAAAGAATTAATTTTCTTTTACAAATATTTAAATCACTAAAAATTACACGGTTAAAACTGGTTATATTGCAATTTTTCATTCCATTCAATGATGGAATGAAAAGAAATCACCCCCTCTAATAAGGATTGAGAAATAACAAAAAGGAAGGAATCACATTTCCTCTATAATGCTCACATTCCATTCCGTCAGCCAATTCAAAATGGTTTTTTCATTCAAAAAGTTTTTTTCATTAAAATGGAATGAACCATTTCCTTTTTTTCTAATTAAGTAAATTTAGAATCTTACATGATTAAGTGGATTATCCTCTAGTGGGCTTGAATAAGCTTTTTCAGCCTCAACCCATGCCCTTTGCTTTAAGTAACATTTCTTCTAACCTTCCTGCAATAATCAACTGGTTAATTTTTTTTAAAGCACAACACCTTAATAAAAAAGAAAGTAGAAAGTAAAGTAATGATTAATTTTTGAGCAGGGGAAAAATGGTTATAAAAATAATTGGAAGTGCAATGCATTTTCACCCAAAAAATATCTTTTATAAACTTTTCTTATGTCAATTGTCAAACTCAACAAATTTGTAAACTGTAAGGATACCCTTTTTTCTAATGAAACCAATCCCCATCAAAGTGCATCCAAAATCAAAATTAACACAACTAGAGGATTAGAATTATAGTTACACCAGGTCTTAGATCCATTAAACTCCAAAAAAAGGACCAAAATACCCCTTGGAATTTTTATTGTACCAGATCTTTAGAACATAAACCAACTCTTTCTAATCCCTTTCCAACCATAGTCACGGTGTTTTATACAGTCTTGAATATACATGTTGCATTTAACAGTAACCTACAAAAGACAACAATGCCCTTTGTTTTTATTTTCGCACCAAGTCATTCATCAGTATTGTACTTTGTTCCAGTAAACCTAAACCCCACAAAATTGCACCAAAGAACAAGGATGACTGATAGGCCCAAAGACACATTTGTCTACAGCAAAAGGAGAAACAGGCCCAAATCCAATCCAGTATAATAAAGGCTTATCCTGGTGGCCGTTTTCTTTTTATATCCGTTATCAAGTTGTTATTGCTTTTCTGTTTTGTAATGCTCTCCCCACGATTATGGTAGTGGAATGGAAGATTCTTCCAGGGGAGGGTAGTGTCAGCTTTTTGTCTTTTGTTCCAGGCTTCTTATATAAGTCCTGATGTCTTTTTGTTTTGGGGTTATGTTGAAATTTAATGAAAAGTTCTCTATGAACTCGGGAGAGCCCTCACCTTTATAATTGTGAGAACCTATCCTTTTATAATTTCTGTATGATTTCTAGTATATTGCAAGTATAAGTTATCATTTGGTATCAGAGCACCCAAACCGATTCCATGGGAGGAGCGTCCAGGGAAGCAGCAGCCGTGAAGAAGGTGGAGGAACAGGTGGGGTTGATGCAAGTTCAACTCCAATCACATGGGACTGAAATCTAGGGGATGAGAGCAAGGATTGACGATATCCTCCAAGGTCAAAGCCAGACAAACCAGATATAGGATGAGATGCAAACAACCCTGGACAAGGTTTTGGAGAAACTGGATGTCATGGCTGGAGCACCAGGAGGAAGAAACCAAACCCCTCATAATCCATCAAGCCATTCAACACCCACAGGTCCATCGATGAACAAAAATAAGGGACCGGCAAGCTCAGTGATCATCGGTTCAGGGCCAGGCGACTCGAATCCAAGCGGAGGAGGAGCACCGAGCGGACCCGGAGGAAACAGTATTGTTTTTGGCTCTCTCTTCCAAACAAACAACAATACGGGGGGTGGAAGATACGAGTTCCAACACAGGAAGATTGACATGCCACAATTTGATGGAACAGATCCAGACGGATGGATTCTTCAAGCGTAGCGTTACTTTGCCATTTACTAATTGTTGGATGAAGAAAAGATAATGGCGGCGGTTCTTAGCTTGAGCGGGGATGCTCTGGCCTGGTTCCGGTGGACCAATCAACGGGCGATAATGAACTCGTGGGAGGAAATGAAGGAAGTCTTCTTGAAAAGGTTTCGTCCCATCCATGGGGGGGATTTATACGAACAATGGGCAGCTCTGAGGCAAACAGGGACGGCGGAGGAGTATGTTCGAAGGTTCATCGACTTGTCGGCCACGTTGGAAGGGGTAACGGAACGCATCACCATGGGAAATTTTATTGATGGGCTTCAAGACCACATCAAGACGGAGCTCAGATTATAGACCCCAGACAACTTGGGCCGCACCATCGACTTAGCCCAACATATCGAAGAGAGGAGCAGGTCTCTTTTTGCTAACGGATTCGAGTCGTTCGTCAATCTGGGTAACACCAGAAAGGTTAGTGGGGCAAACCCGAATCATTCCATTTCTTTCTCACAACCTGATCGATCGATGGGGAAACCACGACTCTAATGCTACCTCACAGAAGCTCGGATACAAGATAAGAGGAATCGAGGAGTGTGCTTCCGTTGTGACGAACGCTGGTTCAAGGGTCATGTGTGTAAATCCCAGGTGAATGTGATCCTCGTAGATGAAGAGGAACCGCTCATCGAAGACCCTCAGGAAGCAACCGACCCTGCCACCTTGGTATCTACATAGGTTCGACCAGAAATCGAGGTGTCACTTAACTCAGTAGCGGGGTTGTCGTCTCCAAAAACGATGAAGGTCCGGGGAGCCATTGGGTCCCAACCGGTGGTAACCCTAATCGATCTCGGGGCCACTCATAACTTCATTGCATCTCACTTGGTAGCTTCTATGGGCATTTCGATTGACGAGACTGAACCCTACGGGGTAAGGATGGGAACAGGAGACAGTGAGCGCGGAACTAGTGTCTGTAAGGGAGTGGTTTTGCACCTTAAGGAATTAGACATCACAGAAGACTTCCTCCCCTTGAGGTTAGGCAGCTCTGACGTGATACTGGGGATGCAATGGCTTGAAACTTTGGGCGTGACTAAAACCAACTGGAAGGAACAAACAATGGAGTTTGAGGTGAATGGGAGAATAGCCCGGATCGAAGGGGACAAGTCGCTCGGTAAGTCCCTGATTTTTCTGAAGGCCATGGCAAGAACCTTGAGCAAAGATCCTTATGGTTACCTAATTGAACCCAGCAACACCGAGTACCAGTTTATACCACCGGACCCTGTGCCCTTATTCTTACAAGACATCTTGAGCCAATTCGAATGCATATTCCAAGAACCCACAGGATTACCACCACCACGAGCCATGGAATACAAAATCATAACCAAGGAGGGTACTACCCCAGTGAGTGTCCGCCCTTACCGGTACCCCCATTATCAGAAGGGGGAAATAAGAATGATCAAAGAGATGCTTCAAGCCAAGGTGATACAGCCCAGTAATAGCCCTTACTCCAGTCCCGTGATTTTGGTTAAAAAAAAGATGGCTCTTGGCGTTTCTACATAGATTATCGAGCACTAAACAGGGTTACGGTGCCCGACAAGTTTCCCATTCCTGTAATTGATGAGTTGTTGGATGAGTTACATGGTTCAACTATCTTCACCAAATTGGACCTCAATTTCGGGTACCATCAAATAAGGGTACGGGTAGCAGACGTGCCAAAAACGGCTTTCCGGACACATGATGGCCATTACGAATTTCGGGTAATGCCATTCGGCCTCATGAACGCCCCGGCAACATTTCAAGCCT